ATTAGGTTTTCTTTAAAATACATTACAAACTTGCTAAAACAATGTTTAATTTTGTGATATTAATACACCTACTTACACAAATTATAGTTTCATAAAAAAATTAACTTTTTACCAATTCAACCATAATAATTTTTTTACTGCTTTATGCAATAGTATTGGGGCGGTGCGTAATTATCAGGCGTTTCATAAAAACTTTATTTATATGAAAGCAAAATTTTATTTATATTAAAAAAAAACATAAACATTCTCTAATGGTATCCTTAATTCATTATTCCGAAGCATATTCACCATCAACTTCAATAACTGATTCCCATTTGCTTGGAAGACGGTCGATTCCACGGGCAAAAAAGTCACAGTCACTTTGTGAAATTGACGTCGAAATTGTAACAACCAGGAATGTAACAACAAATGTAACAACCAGGAAATCCTAAAGGACCAACGCTCGTCACCAAATGTAACAACCAGGAAGCCTAAAGACCATGTGTAACTACTGATAGGTCTTTAGCTACTGTTGTCATTATACTATTAAGGGATAAAGGCAGCACCTGTCACCAGCCCTAGGGTCATGGAGTCCTGAAGGAACATCCATTCGCCAGTGGCAAAAGAAAATAATAAAGAAAAAATAATAAAATACAAAAAACATCCCTTAATAGCATATTTCGAGCGGTTCTTGGCAACTAGTTTTAGACTCTTTTAGTCCTAAGGGAATAGAAACGCCGAGGCTTCTCAAATGCTCGGAGTATTTTGCTGGTTTGGGAAGGGAGGAGAGATTAATAATAAGTATTAAAACATTAACAAATGTATATTAACAATAAATATAAAACTTGACAAATAGTCTTCAGAAAAAAATGAATAAAATTCCATTTAGGGAATAAAGCACTAAATAGTAATAAAGATATGCATAAGATAAATATAATTCGGGACGAAAATGTAAAATTGGCATTTATATGTAAATCAATCAATTAATTAATATTAAACAAAAACACTTTAAAATTAAGTTAAAATATTTACCCATAATTCACATCGTACACAAAATTATACTCTACACTTTACTTTACAATACAAAACGGGAATTTTCGCCCAAGGGGCGAAAGTTCTGGACCTTAGTGCGAACCCGACTGAGAGTTTACCTCCAAGTGATCCTTTCTATATAAACCAAAATTTACGTGATGGTTGATTGTATTTAACAATGTCACGTTCAATGTAGATTAATAATTTGAAGGTTTATTTCATTTTCATACGTGTCTTTTTAATTTAAACATTAAATACTTGTTTATAATTTTTGGTAAATTCTTTAGATTTTTTCAATTAATAATAATGCCAATTATTACAAAATGATAGGGTTTAAAAAGAGCGTTTATAATTATTTGAACAGATGCCTTTATTGAAAATTATCACGAAGAACCATATACCTAAATCTTCCGAAAACGAGGAAAAATTATAACCGCAGATGTTTAGAAAAATTATAAAGCTGGTAATAATTATACCTATTCTGAAAAATTTGCCGTGGAACCATTTTTACATTTTAACTTTTATGAAGAAATTTGTTCTAAAATTTTTGAGAAAAACTTTATTCAATAACCCATGAAATTAATTATTGACTTAATAACTAATTTTCTTTTTTAGCTAACCTCTTAGTAATAATACCAGGCTTCCTTATGGTATGGATATCTTCTGCAATGCCAAAGCTTCTATCCAACGACACAAATATCAACCCCTTAAGAGAACCAATTTCAGTTACGCAAATCTCAATACTGGCAAGCATCCCAGCCTTCGCAGGAACCCTTGGACTCGTACCATGGGCAAAACTCATAGATATCTTAGGAAGAAAAAAAACTTTAATGGTTTTTGCGATAATTAATTTTTGTAACTCTATAGCAGCATCTTTCGCTTCCCATATTTCATTTTTCTACTGTCAAGCCTTCATTGGAGGTTTCACTGCATCCGGCGTTATAATTTGCGTTTCAATATTTAACAATGAAATCGCTGCTATTACAAATAGGGGCACAATGGGGTGTCTTATGGGTTTCGGTCTACCATTTGGAATTCTTTTGGGGTACCTAATTGGGCCAGTTGTTAGCATCAGATGGTACTTTTTACTTTCGACGATACCATCTGCGTTGCATTTAATATTGTCTGTATTTATTCCAGAATCACCGGTATTTCTAGCTATGAAAAACAGGAATTTGGAATGTATGCGTGCTTTAGAGCGACTTAGAGCAACTAAAAGAATAGAAGTCGAGTATGACAAGATGGAGAGAGTTTCAAAAGATGCTTCCAAGCAGAGGAAGGGGAATTTTTTGGATATATTTAAAAATAGATCACCCAGAAAAGCATTTTTTATATCCTTTGTTATAGCTGCTATCCAACAGTTCTCTGGTGTGTTTGTTATACTAGTTTTTATGGGTAAGATTTTTGCAAATGCGGGTATAATTTCGGGTGGGTCATTCGGAATTGTGACTGGAATTGTTCAGCTCTTTATGGTGGTAATTTCAGCCTATGTAGTAGATAAACTGGGACGAAGGCCGTTGTTGTTGACGTCATAAATGATTTGTGCGGTCACTTTGTTTCTTCTAGGTTTTTACTTCCATTTGCAACAAATGGAATCCGCTGTGGTGGACAGTTTAACGTGGCTACCCATTTTCTGTGTGCTTGTTTATATCATTGGTTACGGTTTCGGTTTAGGACCCATTCCTCCAACTCTTTCAAGTGAGCTTTTTCCAAATGATTTAAGAGCTGTAGGTTGCGCTAGCGTATATGTAGCTGATCACTTGACTTTATGCAGTACTATGTTGACTTTTCCATTAGCTTCTGCGTATCTGGGTGAACAGTATTGCATGTGGTTTTTAAGTATGTCTTCTTTTTTGGGATTCATTATAATATTTTTTGTTTTGCCTGAAACTAAAGGTAAAAGCTTTGATGAAATACAAGAAGTTCTAGCTCATTAGTATTGTGTATTATATATAATTATGTAAATAAATTTGGTATATATCTGTATTTTGTTTTATTTTTCAACTACTAAGTTTCTCTTTTTTGACGATACAAGAGCAGTAAGTTTAATATTATTAATTCGGCTCTGCTCAAGTAATTTAAATGAATATTTTTCGCCTATTTAAAGGTATTCTATAAATCTTACGTGAACGTGCCGATTGGTAACATACAAAGTTCATGACGCATAATAATTTATTTGTGCTTGCAATTTTAGAAAAATTTGATATACAGGTTGATTTACATAGAAATTATTAAAATGAACAATTTTTTCAAAAAATATTCAAAAATAAGATAAAAATAAAATCACATGGATTTATTTTCAGTCCATTTCGACCGATCCACCTATTTGAGAAAGTACCCACAGATACATCTCCATCCATTCATTCAAAAATCTGATTTTTAAGCATGCTAACAATAAATATAAGCAAGATATGAAAAGGACTAAGGTTGAGGTAGAACTGGTACGATGTGAGTGAAAATGGCCGCTTTTGTCATGAGCGTATCGTTAAAAATTAAATTGAGAAAAATAAATACCAAATAAAAAGTATAAACCTATACCTATATACCTTTTAATCTATATTAATGTAACATTTTATCTTTTTTAGAGTGGAAATAAAATCAAATGTTCCTCTAACTGTTTCTGAGATACCTAATAGCGGTGAAATATTTTCCACATCACTAATCCCCAGCTTACTTTCAGAAGCACATACAGTTGTTGACGAATAATCACTCTTATTTATTATCACCAAAACTGACTAGCTCGAGTTTGACATATGTTGTAAAAGGATAATGCAAAAGTACAGACACTTCTAGTACCGTCATTGTATCTTTGTATTCTATGTCTAAGATTTGAAAGATTCGCAGGCTCCGCCCTACTTTATGACGTCACTGCGTGCGTAGCGCAAAATAAGATGATTTTGGTGATTTTAAGTGGGTCATTGTTCGTTATATCGATCTGTTAACGTGTTGACATATCTTTTTAGCAAATATTTAGGGAAAGCATCTCACTCCCGCGGTCTCACTCAGAAAAATGAGCCAAGAAGATGCGATTAGCCAGAGCGCAGTGGCGTACCAAAAAATAGAGATTAACACGTGTGAAAACAAAATAATTAAAATTGAAATTATATTTTTATGTTATTTACTTTAAAATAATGTGTTTTTATGAAATGTAACTGGGTGTTCACTGCACAAATGAACCAATGGAGAAACCGCCCCTGATTCTCGGAATTAGTTTTGTATTTAGGACCCACGTTCAATTATTTCTTTTATATATCCGCACTTCTAATACCCCACATGCATATTTATATTGTACATTTTTCTTTTAGTTTCTATATATACATATTTTCAAAGATAAAATCAAATTAATTCACCATGGTGCGAATTATTGATTTTTGTTAAGTTTTCAAGGTTCCGGACCTTGTCCGAGGTTGCAAATTTACTAGATTGTTAAAGAAAAATAATATTAACATTTGCAACCAGTTCCGGACCTTGGAAATAGTTGCAAATTTAAACTTAGTGTTATTTAAACTAGCCGATTTTTCTTACAAAGTTTGAAAACTTTTGTAATTAATGTGAAATGTTCAAAATAGGATGTCTTCATTGACTGGCCTAATTCACCGGTATAGTACGATGATTCTACATGAACAGGGATGAAAAAATAGTATGAATACCTTCTCCAATATCTTCTTGAGTACCTTATAATCAAGAATAATTTTACAAGGCGGATTGATTATATCATTATTTGATATAAATAAAAATTTCCTTAGTCTATTCGGTCATGTTCTTATTTTCAATCATTTACGTTCGAGCACATTTTTATTTATATAAAATTCTGCTACGGTCAGGAAATTATACTTATTTAAATATATCATTATTGTTTACCAAAAATAACTAATAATATTATTATTACTTATTTTTTAGTCCGATCCTGTTTATCTAAATATGAATTTTAATTAGGTTGACATTCTACTGAGTTTTTTGATTAGGTTTTCTTTAAAATACATTACAAACTTACGAAAACAGTCGATGTTTAATTTTGTGATATTAATGCACCTACTTACAAAAATTATAGTTTCATGAAAACATTAACTTTTAACTAATTCAACCATAATAATTTTTGTCTCCGAATTGATTACATGTTTTTTGAAAAGAATATTTTATTTTTGGAAATTAGGTGTTGTACCTACCAAATGATTAGATTTTAATATCAGTCGTTAAGTAAGCATTAAGGTTAGAAGAGTATTTTTTTGAAGATAAAATTGGTAAAATATGATTGAGAAAGAGTGTAAAGAAGTGCTTTTTAAACAAAAAAATTATGAAGATCAACGGGACCATGAAAAAAATAGTTTTCCTTGGCTACTGTACTTTTCTGGATTTACAGGTAAGATAGTTTCATAAAACAATTCAATATGTTGTCAAAAAAATTTTAATTTATATTTAATTATATGTATAGCGTATATACTATTAAAAGAAACTTAATTGTTTAGACATTGCCTTGTATTAATATTCTACAGGGTTATGTTGGTTTTTGGTTTTTTAAACGATTAAATCAGTCACAAAATATAATTATTTATTTACTAAAAATACATAAAGATGTTCTTTGATTAAATGCACTTAAGACAAATAAAACATTACATATAGCTTTGCATCTAAAATAATATACTATTTAAAAAATCTGATGTGTCCAGTACATGACTTTCCTATCTAGTTATTACAGGCTTTTTCCGGTTATTTTGTACAACCTATTGCAGCACCTCTATAAATTTTTAGAGGAGTATAAACTAAATATATACATTGCATTTTTTGACATTTATTAAATTATCTAAAATACAAAATTTTCCTTTTGTAGTAATTAGAATAATTGTATTTAGAAAAAATGTCATATATACCAATTGTCTTTTAGGTCTATTGAACATTAGACTAACAGATTTTAGATCAAATGCAATTTAGACCAATTGGTTTTTAGATAAAATGTATTTAGATCAATTGATATTAGACTAAATGTTTTAGACTAACTGTTTTAGACCAATTTTCCGGGAACCCATATTATATGCATGTCAACAAATTATATCTCATGGATGTAAAATAGATATCCACCATGGACTGGACATTAAGTGAATATTGGGATGTCCAGTAGATATCTAAAGGATTTGGTGTGCTGTCTGGGTAGGTTTGTACCTATATTATAATTAAATATTTACTACTGATATCAGTACCTGGGAGGTAAACTGAACTGTCGTATTTATTTATAGAGGCATGTTGGAGGTAGTATATGACTACTATTTAAAAAAAATTGCCATAAGAACATAGAAATATGTTACCAAAACTAACAAGTCATGTATATTAAAAAATCTGATGTGTCCAACACATGACTTTCCTATCTAGTTATTACAGGCTTTTTCCGGTTATTTTGTACAACCTATTGCAACACCTCCATAAATGTTTAGAGGATAAAATAAATACATACATTTTCCACATAAATCTACCTCGAAACATTTTTCTATAGATGTTCATTGAAAATGAAAATACTGAAAAATTTAAATTTAGCACTTTTCCTACAATTTTTCCATTACGGTCCATTTTAGAAAAATCATGTAAAAACAAAAATTATAGAGATCGATATCGCAAACAACTTTTATTTTAACAACTTTCTCAAAAATCAGAATTTTGCACATTTTGTCAAATTTCTCGAATACGGACCATTTCAGGAAATTTTGACATAAAACAAAAATTATAGATAATAATATTAGAAATATATTATTTGAACAATTTTTTTCTCCAAACATAAATAACAGATATATTCCATAAAATATAAAAACGGCCCCCATAAAGTACCCCCCCAGATGTTCCGACTTTGTCCAAAATGTAATCATTTTACGTCAGGCCGAAATAAAACTTAATAAAATTTAATGTTTTTTCCCTTATCCGTTTTTGAGTTTTCTTCAAAATTCAAAATTTACACACTTTCTGAAATATCTCGAATACGGTCCATTTAAGTAAAATTATGTATAAGATTAAAATTATAGAGAATTATACTACAAACAACTTCTAATTGAACAATTTAAAAAACAAAAAATTTTACATTTTGTCAAATTTCTCGAATACGGACCATTTTAGGAAAATTTTGTATTAAACAAAAAAGATTGATAATAATATTGTAAATAACTTTTATTTTCTTCTCCAAACGTAAATAACAGATATATTCTATAAAATATAAAAATGACCACAAATAAAGTACCCCCCCTCAGATGTTCCGACTTTGTCCAAAATCTAATCAGTTCATTGGACGTCGGAATAAAGCTTAAGTTTAAAATTTGGTGTTTTGTATCGGTTTATGAGTTATGGTGGATACACACACACACACACACACACACGCACGCACGCACGCACGCACGCAAAACAAGAGTTCTGGGATAAATTTCAACTTAGAAAGATGGTCAGAAAAGCATAATAGGATCCAAAAACGTTTAAAATTATGTATCGCCGTTTGATTGCTTCCTAAAATAACTTATTATTATTATTATTTTTTTTTTAATTTGATGTCATCGGCGTCGACTACTACAGCCATTAGCCTTGTGTTCTGTGTAGGCTTTGTTACTGTTTCCCAGCGCCACTTTAGGAACAGCACTGTTAATTAGAACCCAACAGTGAATGGTCGAGTGGGGAATCCTACCAAGGTATCAGAATTAATTTTAAATAATTAAATTAAATGAAAAAATTCCGGCCAACGGTGGCATTCGAACCTGGGACCCTTGGATCCACAGGCAGAGGCTTTACCACTGAGCCACCCACCCCCTAATATTATTATTATTATTATTATTATTATTATTATTATTATTATTATTATTATTATTATTATTATTATTATTATTATTATTATTATTATTATTATTATTATTATTATTATTATTATTATTATTATTATTATTATTATTATTATTATTATTATTATTATTATTATTATTATTATTATTATTATTATTATTATTATTATTATTATTATTATTATTATTATTATTATTATTATTATTATTATTATTATTATTATTATTATTATTATTATTATTATTATTATTATTATTATTATTATTATTATTATTATTATTATTATTATTATTATTATTATTATTATTATTATTATTATTATTATTATTATTATTATTATTATTATTATTATTATTATTATTATTATTATTATTATTATTATTATTATTATTATTATTATTATTATTATTATTATTATTATTATTATTATTATTATTATTATTATTATTATTATTATTATTATTATTATTATTATTATTATTATTATTATTATTATTATTATTATTATTATTATTATTATTATTATTATTATTATTATTATTATTATTATTATTATTATTATTATTATTATTATTATTAATTATTATTATTATTATTATTAATATTATTAATAATATTATTATTATTATTATTATTATTATTATTATTATTGTTATTATTATTATTATTATTATTATTATTATTATTATATTATTATTATTATTATTATTATTATTATTATTATTATTATTATTATTATTATTATTATTATTATTATTATTATTATTATTATTATTATTATTATTATTATTATTATTATTATTTTTCTTTCTTCTCCGATTTCGTTGTTTTTCGGGTATATTTCGTCTTCTTCCAAGAAACTGCCTGTTTCCTCAGGTAGAGACTCTTCTGTTACAACTATGTTACTACTTTTCTTAATATGTGTGCTGTGCCTAATACTGTTGTTTTTTGTAGCTGGTATGTTGTTTTATGGTCAGCGTTACTAGGTATAGTTTTAAGAATATTTGTAAAGTTTTTATGAATTGTTCCTGTTGCTCCTATGATGACCGGTAATATTGTAGTTTTTAAGCCCCACATCCTACTTAGTTCTATTTGTAGATCTCTATATTTCAGTCTTTTTTCTGCTTCCTTTTGAGTAACTGAATTATCCGATGGTATTGCCACATCTATAATATAGCAGACTTTTTGGCCTAGGTCTTTGATTATTATATCTGGCTTATTGGCATTAATTGTTCTGTCTGTTTGTACTTGGGTGTCCCAGATTATTGTTATGTCATCTTTGGTTTCGACGCTTTTAGGAATATGGTCGTACCAATTTGTTTCCGTAATTATTTTGTAGTGTTTGCATATATTATAGTGCAAGCTTGTACATACTTTATTGTGGCGGGTAATGTATTCTTTGCTGGCTAATATTGGACACCCTGTCATTATATGCCTTACGGTTTCGTCATATTGCTTGCAGATGCGACATTTTGGATCCACATCTGCTTTATGTATTCTTTTTTTTATGTAGTTTGTAGTTATTGCTTGATCTTGGGCTGCGGTTATTAGTGATTCGGTTTCTCCTTTGATGGATCCGTGCTTTAACCAACTGAATGTAAGTTCTTTGTTAATATTTTCATTTTTCATTTCTCTTGCATATTGCCCGTGCATTGCTTTGTTTGTGTATTGCTCTTCTCTCTTTTGTACAATTTTTCGTGTAATCTGTTTTTTTAGTATTTTAACATTTTCTGTCACTGTCTTTTCATTGTCTATATTTATATCCTCTTCAATGTTTTCACGGATCAGTTTTCTTCCACGTTTAAGAATTGATTTTCCCGTTACTAGCTCTTCTTCATATTCTTTTAGTATTGATATGAGTCCGTCCTCACTCTTCAATTCTATATATTTTGCTAGTCCGATAATTGTTAATTTATAAGTTTCTTCAATGCTTGTTAAACCTCGGCCTCCTGATTGCCTGGGAAGGTATAGCCTATCTACATCTGCTCTTGGATGTAGTAAATTATGCATCGTCAGTAATTTTCTAGTTTTGGTATCTATCTTCTGAATATCTGTTTCTTTCCAATTAAGAATACCAAAGCTATAGCCTAGTACCGGGACTGCAAGTGTTCCTATTGCTGTGAATTTGTTTTTACCCGTTAATTGGCTATTTAAAATCCACCGGACTCTTCTATAGTATTCTCTGGATACTTTCTTTTTCATATTTTCGTGCTCAATATCATCTTTTTCTTCTACTCCCAGGTATTTGTAGGGCGTATTTCCCGCTAGCTCTTTTATTTCCGTATCTTTATCTAATATTACGCTTTTTGTTGTTTTTACCTTTCCTCGCTCTATGGTTATTTTTGCACATTTGTCTGTTCCAAATTTCATTCCAATATCGTCGCTAAAATCTTTTACTATTTTTATGAGGTGTTGTAGTTCTTCGTTATTTTTAGCAAATAGTTTTAAGTCGTCTACATAGAATAAATGATTTATTTGTTTTATTATTATTATTATTATTATTATTATTATTATTATTATTATTATTATTATTATTATTATTATTATTATTATTAT